TCTGTCTGTCTGTCTGTCTGTCTGTCTGTCTGTCTGTCTCGTCTTTATCCATCTATATATGCCTCTCTCTTTACCAAAAAAAGAAAGAATAAAGAACATTTACAATAGTATTTGTAACAAAAAGGGTGCGGGGTTTATACAGAAATAGAAAGGCGCCTATTTTTCTGCCAATACGAGATGTTGTGCTTTTTTAAAAATTCTCAGGCAATCCACGACTTGGAGACCCGTCTGATGGGTGTCCCCAACTTCTCCGACTACTGTAAAGAGGACATATCCACGCCGGCCCAGGACTGTGTCAAACCCACGTCACTCATCAGGTACACAGCACATCGCCACCTCACAAATTACTAAAAGGTTATACTTTCCCCTTTAAGTTTTGAGGATAGAGCTCCCTTTAGAATTGGTGATTTTGGAGCGAATTTGGAAATTTTGATCTTTTGCTGGTCCAAATTCCAGTTCTGTAAAGGTTTTAAAAATATAATTAACTAGGTTATTTCGACTTTTATTTTTAACTGTTTGTGCTCCTGGTCCCTCATTAACAGCCAACATTGCGCATCACAATGAGACTACTACCCGTCAGTTTTAGTTTAAATAAGAGTTTTACGGCACTTGCAACACAAATAGATCCCATTATAAGCGCCCAAGATTAAGGGTGTTGATGGAGAGTAACATACAAAAAAAGAAAGAGGAGAAATAAGGACGATAGATGTTTGATATGAAAGAGTGAGTAAACCCCGCCAGAGTACCCGCCAACCACCCACTACTACATATCAAAAGAGGAAGACATTACGTATCTCAAACGCAGACTTAGCTACATTCGATCCTTCTCTGAAGACCACCCGTCCAAAACAATCAACTGCTCAAACAAACACTCCCCACTTCTCCCCTTGCATGTTTTCTATAATTATAATGACACCGCCTTAGAAGTTCACCTACCTAAGACAACCACATTTCTCCTCGACAATGAGCAACCGTTCCGGACAACAGTGATTGTACTGTGTTACCTATTACCTACCCACTATTCCCCCCCCACC